TGACGAGATAAGATGTCGACGATCTGTCTCTCTTTGGGCGTCCCGCCTCTCACAACAGCTGATCTCCATCGGCTTCTACATGTGGGAGCAACGGAACTCCGTTCAACATTCGGATGATAACGTTCAACTACGTGAACGTCACAGTACTGTCAATGAGGGGATTCACTCACATTTTGATATGGGTCCCGATGTCTTGCCTAAGGAAATTCAACCGATGCTAACATGCCGTCAACGAGTCCTTCGCAAGTCATCGGTAGACAAGGAAGAGTGGCTTAAGTTGCTTCGTCAGGAACGCAGAGATTTCCGTCGCTCCATGAAAGCACAACGCCGCAGTCTGCAGACTATTTTCTCCCCTGGACCCTGACCAACTTTTTGCGGGACCTTACATGCCCCGAATTCACCCCGCCACGTTGCGGGAGAAGTCTTTACCCCTTTGGGAGACTTGAGCAACTTCTGTTAAAAAATCCAGATGCCTCACATGGTTCAAACTTGTTGTTGACTCACCGCTTCACAGTACTTGACCTTTACAGCCAAATATTTCACCGGCAATCGAATGCCCATAGAGTAGCATATTAACAATTAATGTCTCAGTTATTATTATTAGGTTCCTTCATCCGCTTCTGCATTCTGAAGTTTTTCCACCTGCCTGCCTACTTTCATTGTGCAAAGAGATTGTCAGTGTGTACCATAAAAACCTCATTGTGTCGTGCCAAGTCCTCGCTTTTATAAGGTTGGAGACTTGGTGCAGTGAAGTAATTAAGATGTCGGGACGGTCTACAGGTAGGAATGCTACTGCTCTGGGACAAATCAAGAAGGAAGGGAAGGTCAATTCGAATTTGGTATCTACTAGACAAAGATTGAACACACGTTCCCAATCAAAACAAAAGAAGAAAAGTCCTCGAATGGAACCCTTGGATGCCTGGTATAGGAGCAGGCTTACGGCCCATCACAATGCCGACGAATTTGTACGCAAATTGAAATTAAAAATTTTCCCAATACAGGGACGTCACTATGATGAGAACTGGTCAATTTTTGGACATGTTGCTTGCACTGCCTTCAATGCCGTGCCTCCCTATGTTTGCTTGCTTGCACTGCCTTCAATGCCGTGCCTCCCTATGTTTGCTTCTTGAATAGATTACTAGAGGAGTCTGAAGAAGCAGCCGCACAACCTTCCACTGCTTTGGCACGAGCTTCAGCTTCCACTTCTGGTGCTGCAAAATGGCCTGCAAGAGCTTCTCTTTCTGTTGCTGCAAAAAAGCCCCCCCACAAGCTTCTTCCACTTTGGACTATTGGAAGCCATCTTCGCCAAAGAGAAGAAGAACGGCTGTTGCCGCCAAACTGCCAGCACCACCACCACAACCTTCAACTTCTGCTGCAGCAAAAAGGCTCCCACAAGCTCCATCCACTGAATCCGAAGAGTCAACATTGGACTATGGGAAGCCATCTTTGCCAAAGAGAAGAAGAACAGCTGTTGCCGCCAAACCGCACCCACCACCACCACGACCTTCCACTTCTGCTGCAGCAAAAAGGCTCCCACGATCTCCATCCACTGAATCCGAAGAGTCAACTTTGGACTGTTGGAAGCCATCTTCAGCAAAGAGAACAAGAAGACCAGACATTCAGGAGGGTCAGCAAAGTTGGGCATCACAGCTGAGAATGAAGAAGGAGCTGCAAGCTTTCCTTGCAGTTGACAAGTCTGAAGAGGTTAGAGAAAAGTTCAATGGAGTTCTCTGTAATTTTGACAAGAAATTGTTGCAACCCAAAGGACGTCGAGAATCAGCTAGGCAGTTCCAGAATTAAACTGAAAAGGCTAGAAGCAAGTACAATCAGGCATTGAAGGATCAATATGGCCCAGTAGTCCACAATGTTTTAGAATTCTTAACAAAACATAACATTCAAGCGCCAAACCCACAAAAGTGCGATACTGGCGAAATTTGGAAGATCCGATATGAGCCACCCAATGCAGACAAAACCGAACCCACATTCAGACTTTTGCTAGGATCTCAAACAAAGAGCAGGATTTTTGTTTCAAATGTGACAGTTGCCTATGTCAAACATTATCTTGGTAAAGGATTGGTTGAAAAATGCATTGCTTATGGAGAAAGGTGTTCTTCTAGGGGTATTAATCAACCCTCCTTCTTTGTTCCACTGGGAGATAGCAACTTGGATGTTGCCCCAAACCACTGTCTTGTTTGCAACCACTGTATAAAGTCTGCGGCAGACGAGTTTGCTCCATTGGCAGCTTTGGCTTCAATGTATTCTGGTGAAGTTATCATGACGGATGGAGTTGCAGACCTAGAAACATAGCCATGCTTCAACTCAAGAAGCATCTTCCGAGATTGCGTACCTGTAACTGCTGCCTTCTGTTGGGCACAGACTATTTGTCGAGCTTCTGCAGTGAGGTTGTGTGC